TGACTGAGGACATTCTGGTCACACTTGATTTCCCTCAGGGGAGAGAGAAGTGAATTTCTATTTCTCTGAGAGGGGGCTGAAGGCAGAGATGACCTTGATCTCCACACTGCAGAAGCTCTCACTGAGAGCCCCCTTCAGCTGTCCCCTCAGAGACCATTTTGGTGCACACACTCTTTCATGAAATGGGGATGGAAATGGACCCCAGAAGGGACTTTTGGTGGCAAAAGGATTAGGAACTTTTTCTCAAGTTGGATGTGAAAGGTGGTGGCCCAAGAAGAAGGGTGGTTCAAAGAGGACCTTCTAAAAATACTGCCCATTTACCGAAAAGACAAAGACTACTCCTCTGCTGTGGCCCAGAAGCTCCTCAAAGGGAGAAATCATCTTCCCACCCACACCCTCCCTCACTGGGTGAGGGCACCTCCCCAGGGGCTCTGGGAGCCAAAAATGACTAGAAGAAGCTGAGACTTTGGAGCTAGGCAGTTGGTTCAGATCCCGGTTCCCTACTCTTCTCTGAACCTGATTCTTCATCTGAGAAATGGGAATACAAGTAGCTAATGTGTGAGTTAGACTAAACGGGGCCATGTTTATACATTAGGCCATTTGGTGTCCAGGTCTCAGAAGGTACCTGTGAATTCTAGTTATACATCATTTCTGTTGGTGGAGGGAGCCCACCATGTGCCAGAACCCAGGGGTAGGGGAGTGAGACTGACAGGATCCTGCCCTCCCAGGGTTCCTGGCCTCTATGATCTGCCCTGTGCTGGGCAGCTGAAGAGGACTGTCTCCTCTGCAGTGTGGTCATCAGGCCATCTCTGCCTCAGTCCCCTCTGGAATTGCAGGTGGGAGAAACAGCCCAGTTGAGGGATCTTTGAATAACATCCTAAGCATCTAGAGACACAGTAAACATGGTTGTGGGAACACTAGAGGGGAGAGGGGCTAGACCGAGATGCAAGTAGATCTCGGCATGAATGGGAGGTGCTGTGCCATTGTGGGGAGATCTAGACTGGGAGCCCAAACTCGGGTCTGAGTCCCAGCTCTGAGACTTGCCAACATAATGGGCTTCTTTTGACTGTGGACCTCCTATGTGCCTGGTGCACCAACCAGAACACCTCTTGGCCTTTTTTTCTTTTTTTTTCTGATGGTCCCTCAAGGTAGGCTTCATTATCCTGATCTAGTGGTGAGAAAACAAATACTCAATTAAGTCACTTACCTCCAGGCTCCCAGCAGAATTCAAACTCAAGCTCTCCACCCAGGTGACCTTGGGTAAGTGTTGAGTATTCTTCTCTGTCTAGTATGCATAATACTCCACCCTGCCTTCTCCCTGAGGCTCTTTGGGAGCTCAGATAGGGGGGTGGGGGTGGAGGCAGAAGTCTATTGTGAGCTGCAAATCCCTGTCTACTTGAGAGGACATGTGCAAAGTTCAGGGTTCATCTGGGGGAAGAGAGGTGTCGTGGCGCATGTTGGAGGTGTCTGAGAGTAGATTTCTTCTTGCCCTGGCTGAACCAATGATACAGAACTCAGGCTCTGGAGGGCCTTCTCTCGGATACCTTCTCAGAGGCGGTGATGGGCGGGGTGGGGGTGATCGGACCTTCCAGATTACGCTGCTGCCTGTTTGGGCTTTCTTGTTCCTATGGGGTCTGCGAGGCTTCCTTATGCAAGACAACAGGAATCTTGGCTTGACAATATGACAGTGTGGTGAGTCAGGCAAGAGTGGAAGAGAAAGGGTCCCTTAGCCAGCCTCAGAGCTACTCGGTGAATTATAATAAAATAATAATTAATAGTAATAATGACAATCACCCATACTACACTCATCCTGTATTTGTTGGGTGCTGTTTTAAGCTTCCATTCATTAACTGTTTACTATGTGCCAGTCACCTTCCTAAGGGATCTACATGAATGAACTTACCCAATCCTTAGGAGTTACCAATTATTATAATCCCCATTTTATATGTGAGGAAACTGATGCTTCAAGAGGTTTAAAAAATGAACTTGCCCAGGTTGCGGTGGGTTGGTAGGTAGGAGTGGCTTCAGAGTCAAGTAATTTGACTCCAAAACTTACATGAACTGTCTTCTTTCTCTCTGTCAGTGTATTTTCCTGGTGTTCAACCACATCTGGCAGTGTTGCCCAAAGTTTGAAGCTGAGCCTGTCGATAAGTGAGGCTGGGCTAGACTTTTTAGGCTCCTCCCCATTGTACCTCCTGCCATCGCCCATCTGTAAAAGGAGCTGGTCCCTCTTCTTGGGCCTAGACACAACGGGGGTATTCATTTGAATGGAAATGTTTAGATTGGCAAGAAAGAGCACTGGACTGGGAGTCTTGTGCTAGGGGATCAGGTACAGGCTTGGCCACTGGCAGGCTGTGGGGCCTTGTGCAAGGCACATCCCCTCTCAGGGTCTCATATTCTCGGTAGAATGAAGGTTGAGGGTCCCTGGCAGACCTGATACCCTGTGAGAAAACAGATTGGGTTACTTGACCAAAGTCTTACAACTCATTCCTGCAATTGCTGGGCTCAGTCCTGAGCTGTTATCACCAAATCTCACTACCTAGAAAGAGTCAGCTTGCTACCAACTAGGCTCTCACCAAGTAGCATAGACTGAAAGTGGGAGGCAGGCAGCAGGCAAGATTTGGGGCAGGGAAATCTTTTATCACTATCCTTGAGAGAATAGTAGATTGCTTGGGGCTCTCAGACCATGTTGGGAGAGCTGCAGCTCCTCTCCCTCCCCTGCCTCCCTCTTAGCCCCACTCCAGGAAAAGGGTGGTAGCTAGTTCTTTCAGTTCTGCTTCCTCCAGTCATGCTAGCTGGGCCTTTGACGCAAGCCTGTTGTTTGGGTTCCTGTAACCACCACCTAACCCATATAAACATATGGCCCCAGCTTCAGTCAGGGCCCTATGTTGGATTGGAAAGTTCATTTTCTGTGACAGCTGGGTCTGTGTTGAGACCCTCCATAGGTAGTGAGAGTTGTTGATGAGTGAAAGGAAAAAAGCAGCTGGAAGATGGTGAGTTGTGAGCATTTTCTCACAACCTTACCCTCCCACTGACCTTCCCCGCTTCAACTCTATGCTCTTCTGGGTTAAGCTGGGACACTCAGAAGGCTCTCTCACATCCTCTGGCCTTCAAGGCCAGCTCTTCTCTCACCTCCTCCAAGAAGTTTCCTCTGATTTCTCCCAACATGCATCTGTGTCCCATGTGCATTGAATGGTGGCCCACAAAAGGATACATCCCCATCAAATCCCTAGAACCTGTGAATGTGACCTTATTTGGGAAAAGGACCTTTGCAGATATAATTAGGTTAAGAATCGTGAAATGAGATCATCCTGGATTATCTGGATGGGCCCTATATCCCACGGCAAGTGTCCTTGTAAGAAAAAGGCAGAAAATTTGAGACACAAAGTGGTGATTTGACCACAGATGCAGAGATGAGAGTGACTTGGCCACAAGGTCACATGTCAAGGAATGCCATCAGTTCCTAGAAGCTAGAAGAGGCAAGGAAGGATTCTCCCCCAGGGCCTCAGAGGGACCAGGGCCCTGTCGACACCTTGATTTTGGACTTCTGGCTTCTAGAACTGTGAGTGAATAAGGCTGTATTGTTTTAAGGTGCTCCATTTGTGGTACTTTGTTTCAGCAGCCCTAGGAAATGAACACACCATGGGATGTAAACTACCTGAACTAGGGGGTGGGGGGGGCGGGGGAGGAGTGAGAGCCACCCGGTTGAGGCTTCAAATTCACTATAGCCAGCAAGACCTAGCCTACCTTCCAGGGTCAGTGTTTTGTTTTGTTTTAAAAGCTTTATTAGGATATAATTCACACATCATACAATTCACCTATTCAAAGTGTACCGCCCAATGGTATTTTTAGTATATTGACACAGTTGTGCAGCCCTCCCCACAGTCAGCTTTAGAACATTTTCATCAGCCTCCCCCAAAGGAACCCTGTACCATTAGCAGTTGCTCCCCTTTTCCCCCCAAAACTCTACCCCAACCCTAGCCACTTATCTACTCTCTGTCTCTAAAGATTTGCCTATTCTGCATAATTCACATAAATGGAATCATGCAAAATACAGCCCTTTGTGTCTGGCTTCTTTCACTTAGCATAATTGTTTTCAAGTTTTATCCATGTTGTGGCATGTATCAAAACTTTCTTTTTATGGCTGAATAACATCCCGCTGTATGGATTTACCACATCCTATTTATCCATTCATCCATTGATGGACATTTAAGTTGCTTCTGTATTTTGGCTGTTATGAATTATGCATTTATACTCTTATACTTTGCATGCAAGTTTTTGTGTGGATATGTCCAGGATTGACTTGAAGATTAACTGAAGTAGCATCTAAGGTATTTGATATGTCCTTTAACAAATGATAATGAAAGATCTTATAGAGATTCTGCCCCAACTCCTTTATTTTACAGATTAGGGAGCTGAGGGACAGAGAGGAGCAGAGAATTGCTTGAGGTCACCCACAGCAATAGAGTGTAACAGCTAAATGTAGGGCCTTGAGTCAGACAGCCCAGAACCAAACCTCGGTTCCACTTGGACTTGGATTACCTTGTGTAAGTCACTTCATCTCCCTGAGACTTAGTTTACTCATGTGTAAAATGAGGATAGTAATAGTACCTACCTCATATGGTTGTTGATGGGATTAAGTGTACTAGCCCATGTGTCTGGCACATAGTAGGTGCTCTCTCAGTCTTAGCTGTCATCATTCATGGCAGTGCAAGATGTGGAACTCAGGCCTCCTGGCTCACAGGTGTAAGATGCCTTGACTCTACACTTCTCCATTTTTCTCTCCTGTATCATGGGCATCTTCCCAGTGTAATTATAAGTTTCTTGGAAGAAGGGAAGATGGCTTCCTCTTCCCACTGTCCTGAGCATATAAGAGGTGCTCAGTGAGCTCCTTTGCTACCTCAACCCTGGCCTTTCCCAAGTGACTCAGATGGGAACTATATTAATTCCCTACATCTTTTCAACATCCCATGAGATGACCGAGTGTGTCTCCTTTCCAGGCAGTGGACAGCGTGCCACGATGGAGCTGGGGCCTCTAGAAGGTGGATACCTGGAGCTTCTCAACAGCAATGCCAACCCTTTGCAGCTCTACCACCTCTATGACCAGATGGACCTGGCTGGAGAAGAAGAGAATGAGCTCTGCTCAGGTGGGCTCTCCTCCCCCCGTCACCTCCCAAATCCCTCCCTACCCCTCAGCCTGAGGTGGAGACAGGCAGCAAGTGTTAAGTGCTGGCCCCTGAGCTCCAGTCAGCACCATGGACAACAGCCCCTACCTGGGCTAGAGGCCCGCTCTCTCACTGGGGACGTCGCCTTCTCCCAGCCCAGCCCAGCCCCGCTGGTCTCCTCTCCCCCACCTTCCCCACCAGCCCTTTGCCCAGATCTTTTCTGCTTCATTCAAGGAGCTTTTTCCCCACAGAACCTGACACGGACACCATCAACTGTGAACAGTTCAGCAGGCTGTTGTGTGACATAGAAGGTGACGAAGAGACCAGGGAGGCTTATGCCAATATCGGTGAGGAAGTACCTGAGCCCAGAAAAAGGGCAATTAAGGGGAAAAGTTCTTTTTTCTCTTCTGTTAATCTCACCCATTCACCATGAGCCACAGCAGGCCCCTCTCTCAGAAATCAGGGCAAGGGGGTGTGGGGCGAGGGCTAAAAGAACACAGGCTCCAGGGAAGGCTCCAGAAAGACGGAGAAGAGTGGGGGAAATACACCCCTCCACCAGCGACCCACAGGAGAACAAAATCTCACTTTTACATTCTTTGCCTCTATTTGTACACATTTCTTGTTCTTGCCTTTTTCATAAAGCACGCGGTATACGTCACTCCCTCTCTTTCTCCACAGCTCCTAAGCCAATACTCTAGTATTGGCACTTTTTTTTTTAAAAAAATATATCTTTATTGATTTCAGAGAGAGGAAGGGAGAGGGAGAGAGAGAGAGAAACATCAATGATGAGAGAGTCACTGATCAAGCCCGCAACCCTGGCATGTGCCCTGCCAGGGAATCGAACCCTGATCGCCCGGATGCTCAACCGCTGAGCCACGCCCAAGCGGGTGGCACTTTTTTCTACTCGCCAGATGAGTTGCATCCTTAAAACAGAGGAAGTAGATATGACTAGTATCTCTATTTTACAGATAATGAAATTGAGGTTGAGAGGTGAAACAGTCTCCCCAAGGCTGCATTTGAGATAGTAATGGGCAGGTCTGAAATTCTATGCTACGTCTTTCTCATTTCAAAGTCAAAGTCTTAGCCATAGAAATGAAAGTATCTGGGGTGGGAAGGTTTGCTAAGGCATAAGCTAAGAGGCTGGATTGCAGCTTTAAAAAGAGCTACACCTTTCCGGTAAAGGCAGAACTCTTTGCGGAGAGGTGTTTCTTTTGTTGTTGTTTTAGGGTGGGGGTAGGGTAAAGGATCCCTCCTCATCAGAGTCACACATCAGAGACTTTGTTGGATTAGAAAAAGATACCCCTTCTTCTGGAGGAGGCAGCCCCCACCAGGAAATAACAGCTTGGCTATTAATGTGCAGGCTGAGCCCTGGCCTGTGTGGCTCAGTCAGTTGGAGCTTTGTCCCATTCACCGAAAGGTGGCCAGTTCAATTCCAGGTCAGGGCATATACCCAGGTTGTGGGTTTGATCCCCAGTCACAATTGATGTTTCTCTCTTTCTCTCTCTCTTTCTCTCTCACTCTCTTTCTTCCTCTCTCTAAAATCAATTTAAAAAATTTTAAATTTAGTGCAGGCTAAATTTCCTGCCCCCATTTGCCCTCTTAGCTGGGCACGCTTGTACACTGAAAAACCTGCACACCTGTTCTCAGTTGCCCTTTTTCTGACAACCCAAGAAGCACATTACTCAGGAGGCCTGTGCGCAGCCGGTCTCTGCCCAGGGCACAGTTAACCCAGCATCATGCCCGGGCAGAAAATAAGGAGGTGTCTCAAAATTACAGAACCGAGACCCTGCCTGCTTCCTTTCCTTCCTGGGAATTTACTTTCAGGAAGCAGAAGTGTTTGGGGCTGAGGGCACTCACTTCCTCACAACTGGAGGCCGCAGTAAGGGATTTGGACATCTCTTAGGATTTGGGGGGTTTTTCTTAGGGGATCTACACAGGAAGTGGAGCTGCATGAGCTCCTCAAGTCTGTGGGTTTTCTCTGTGTTCCTAGAAGGCCACGCCCTGGCTTGGGCACGCAGGCATTCATTTGAGACATCCTGAAATATTACATTGGCTTCTGTGTGTGTGAAAATGGGAATAGTAATCACACCTGCCCTATGGGACGGCTGTGAGGATTGAATAAGTCCTCAGCATGTGTAAAGTAGTTAGAAAAGGAATTTGCATTCAGTAAGTTAGGTACCACCCCACCACTACAATCATCATCACCATCATCATCATCATCACTTCTGCCCACACTCCGTTCCTCAGCTCAGAAGCCTTTTATGGCTCCCCATGGCCTATAAAATCCAGTCCTAACTTTCTCCAACATGAAACTTCTACTGCAGACACCTGTCTTTCAGAGTTTCCCACACATACCACAAACACCTTCCCTCACCCTGTCCCCACTCTCCAGAAAGCCCTCCACTCTCAACCTCTCAGGCTCTGCCCCATCTTTCAAGGCCTGGCGCCAGGACCCCTTACTCTGGGAAGTGCTCTAGGACTAGCCCATCCCACTATCTCCTCTGACCTCCTGCTGTGATCACTGTCTTCCCATTGACTCCAAGCCACCGTTTACTGAGTGCTCACTATGTACTGTGTTGGATGTTTTAAATTCAGAGCCTCAATCCTCACCATCCATCCTTGGGTTGTAGGCATTATTTATTCTCATTACACAGATGATGAAATGGGGGCCCAGAGAGGTTAAGTAACTGGCCCAAGGTCGCATAGCTCATAGGGCTAGCGGGTGATGGAGCTGGAATTTAAACTCAAGCCCCCCTGACAATTCATCCACGGTGCACTGAACTACTTTACTACTTTATAGCAAAAGATAAGTTTCTGTGGCTACATATCCCGACCCATCAATCAGATTAAGAGCCCTGTGTTCCTGCGTTAATTGGGTCGTTCATTCAGCAAACATTGAGAGCTCACTGACTGACTGCACTTTTCCTTGTCTGGGCAGCGGAACTGGACCAGTACGTGTTCCAGGACTCCCAGTTCGAAGGCCTGAGCAAAGACATTTTCAGTAAGTTGGGAGCTCTCGGCTCAGCCCACATCTCCTTCCTTGTTTCTTGGGGAGCACCGCAATACCCGAAGGCCATCCTTTCATGGACGGTCAGATCGCTTCCCAACATAGGGACAGTGCAGGTTCACCTGGGGTGTCCACTGATTGTGCATGTTGGTGTCTTTGTTTTTTTTTCCTCCAAAGTAGAGCACATAGGATTAGAAGAAATAATCGGCGAGAGTATAGAGATGCTGGAGGAAACGGGAAAAAAAAGTCAGAAAAGACGTGAGTGAGCCCTTCCTGGTCCTACCCAGCCTGGACTCCTGGCCCTGCCCCGGCTCCAAAGCCTGCTGTGGGTCCCAGTTGCTCCCCTTATTAAGTCCTGTCTAGTCCACCCAGGTTTGTGTCCCACCTGCCTCTCCCCTCACCATTGCTCCCTGGTGACCCAGGGAGGAAGCAGACGGCCCAGGTGCAAATGGCTACTCTCCTGGGGGAGTCTCTGTCACTGGCTGTATTGACTACTGTTTCCAAAGGACTTTTGGGCTCTGGATTCTTTTTTATCCTTAGTTGTCACCCCTGTATTTGAGGGAGATGTCTTCAAGCACAGGTTTGAAGTCAGCAAGAGCTGTGTTTTAATCCTGGATCTGCTACTTATGCTCTCTGTGACTGTGGCAAGTACCTGCACCTTTTTGAGCTTCCTACTCAGTCTCCCTGCCTCCTCAGTCTGTCCTCACCTGGCAGCCAACATGAGCTTTGAAATACAAATCAGATCATTTCACTTCCCCGTTAACCTTCCAATGACTACAAAATACATGCCACAAGGCCTGCATGATCCAGCCCTTTTCACCCCTCCAACGCCCCATAAGCCACCATGCTCCAGCCCCATTGGCTTCTTTCCATTCCTGTAGCCCATGGATCCTTTCTAGCCTCGGGGCCTTTGCACTTGCTATTCTCTCTATCTATAATGTCCTTCCCCCACTTCTTTCCATGGCCAGCTCCTTCAAATTTCTTAGATCTTGGCTAACATGCCACCTCCTCCTGGAGACCTTCCTTGACCACCATTTTCACATAGATTACCTTGTTTATTTTCACCTTGTTGTGTCTCTCCCAGCACCTTAGTACTTGTCATAATCTGAACTTTTTTTATTTATTGCTTTTTGTCTAGTTCCCCCACTGTGAGGACAGGAACTTTGTCTTTATTACTCATCACTACATTCCTAGCATTTAGCACAGTGCCTGGCATGCAGTAGTGCCTCAATAAATATCTGTTGAATGAAAATATCTGTAAAATGGGCGTAACAATTAATCAAGTGCGTACACTATATGCCAGACCATGTGTAAGCCCTGTACCAATTTCTTTATTTTCAAAGTGTTTCTCAGTTTATTTCTCTGTTTCCCTCCCTGAAGACAACCTATGTTGTCAGTTTCCTTTTTGCCTTGTTAGAAATGTTATTTATCTATAAGCCAACTCTCTCTTTTTTTTTTTAATTTTCTACACAAATGACCACATTTTTACCTACACTATCCTGCACTTGGCTTTCTTCATTTAACATGTCTGGGAGGTCATTTCTGTATCACTGATGGAGAATTGTCCTACCTCCAAGGAATTCTTCTTCC